AGAATCTTTTGATCTTCTTCGTCAAACAGTAAGTCGTCATCGTCACTATCGTCACCCATCAAAACCTGTTAGATTTCATTATCCTTAAGTTTAAAAATTCCAAATAAAAGCTGGAGGTATTTGACAAAAACATCCGTATACTAACAAGGAGACGGCAAGGGTGTGGGGTCCTCAAATCAAACGGAGGTTCCGCGTGTAGTTAGCACTCAGTGAGTGCATTCATATACTCAAACCCTAGAGCGCACTACTTAGCTATTGCCGAGAAAAAAAATCCTAAAGTTTAAAAAAAAATTTTTTTTTGCATTAAAATTTAATAAATCGTTATAAACAATTTCTTTTGAACTTTTATACATTATTGAATCGCGAATTTAATAATTTTTAACTTGATATTAATGATTAGAACTTACAAAAGACGGAAGAATGTAAATAGAATAAACACAAAAGTCACAGTTCTTTTAAACATTTTTTATAAAATAATATATTATTAAATACAATGAATATTTATGATAAAATGTTTATAGCATTAGCAATTTTTCCAATCATTCAAATTTTTGAATATCCAAACCTGGATGATATTTAAAATAAAAACAAGAAAAACACAAATTTTGTAGACAACATGCACAACAAATAAATGCAGATTTTTTACAGGAGCACAGTGTTTTTAGAATTCCTTCTGAAAAACAAACTTCGTTTACGTTCATAAATATTTCTCAATATTCAGATAATTTTGATGCATACCAGGCATATTCTCCGATGCAATCAAATTATTTTCATAAAGAAGACCTTCATATTACACTACTGCAATTCAATAACAATTTCGACTTATCACTGCATAAAGATGATTCACTTACAGAGGGGCCAGGAAGTTCTTTGCTTTTCGACATATTGCCAATTTTAAATTTTAAATTCACGATTCAATAATGTACAAAAGTTCAAAAGAAATTGTTTATAACATTTTATTAAATTTTAATGAAAAAAAAAATATTTTTTTCAAACTAGGAATTCTTTTCTCGGCAATGGCTAAGTAGTGCGCTCTAAGGTTTGAGTATATGAATATACTCACTGAGTGCTAACTACACGCGGAACCTCCGTTCGATTTGAGAACCCCACACCCTTGCCGTCTCCTTGTAAGTAAACCATTCCTCATAGGTAGTATCTCTCTACGGCCCTAGGGAAACCGGTGTCGCATCGTGTTTACAGTGACTGATCCATATAAGCAACATGACTAGTAGATTGACAAATGTATACAGTAACAATGTATGTACTTACCAGACAATAGTATTACACTCTGAAAAGTTGAAAAACACATTTATAAAAATTAAGGTTCTCCAGCCAAAGGAGCGGCCATCTTCTATTAACCATACACATATAACGGTGTTGCTTATGTTGTGTTCCCTACAAAAAAGTTATAAAAGGAACGTTCGTAAACTAATAATTAACAAAGTGACATACATAACCTTCTTGTTAATTTAGTCCTTCTATCTTTTAGATTGAGACGTATATTCATTAATGTTTGTTTTACGGATGTACTTTTTTTACTCACCAATAACAAACGGCAATACATATCAGAATTTGGCTTCTTCGGTGTTCTGTTGACAGAGAAATAAGGATTTGTGAACGATGAAAACAAAATATTTATTTATAAAAACAAAACTGAAGACTTAAAAAAAATGATGAATATAGAAGGTAGATAATAATAGAATAAGTATGTGCATCGAAGGCGAACAGTAGGACCGAACTTAGTTTTTAAGTTAAAAGTGTTAAGAAATCTAAAAGGTAGGAATTACCTGTTAAAAATCAAAAGGAGGAGGAACTAGAAGTGGTTCAAAACAAGGTAGGGAACCAGTAAGAAAACTGTAAAATATGGAAATACTTTCAACTAGAAATAATGAAAAAAAATAAGTAACTCATTATTAAAATGTTATAAAAATGTTACTAAGAGGGAGTAAAAATTTAAGATGTTATGCCTTAGTAATTGAAAGTGAAATGTTATTAGAGATTATTGGAAAATACAGGCAATTAGTGAAATATAGAAGTGCAGACAAAAGAATATATATAACGATACGAAAGTACGTAGGTAATTATGTTATTGTGACAAGAAGAATTGAGGTAATGAAGCAGTTATGAAATAGAGTTATAAAGACTATTTATATAATTACAATAACCATATACAAAGACATTTATAAAAATTCTACATAAAATATAAAATAATTACAGTTAATATAAATATGTATATATACAAAATCGTCACAAGGGGATCAAATTCAAACAGCAAAAATTACTGTTTTGGATATAAGTTAATACGCCTATTGCGAGGTCTATGAATTCCTCCATATTGTTACTTAGTCACCTCTCCTCCTTTTTCTCCTATACACAATCCTTCCTAATTTTTGTTACACTATACAGTGAGGAAGCATAGTCACCTCTCCTCTTTTTTCTGCTATACACAATCCTTCCTAATTTTTGTTACACTATACAGTGAGGAAGCATAGGTAAGACCATATTCATTTAAAATTCAGGGATTTGTTATTTGAAAAAACGGACACGTAGACCTGTATTTTTGACTGCGGGCTTCTCCACGGTTAATTCATAAATTTAAGTCAGCATAAAAAGTAAGCGACTACCACTGACTTTATGTTTTTAAATGGAAGCATCTATTTTTTAAAATAATTCGAAGTGGTCTGTATTCTGTCGAAACTGCCAGACGCGGACCGCGATTTCGATCTTTTTGGATCTCATCAGCGCGTCGCAGACAGTTTCGACAGAACACAGACCAACTTTTAACTTAACTTAACAATGCGTTTTAGAAAATACCGCAACTGGCGCGATAAACGCCACCTGAAGTACGATACTACATTCTACGATTACGTATGCTCCAACAAGGTCCATTTGTATGGATATCTACTTGCTGAAACGAATCCCGGCGTAGCTAAACTCAACGTGATAGGCACATTACCAACAAAATAATTCGAAGTGGTCTGTATTACCGCGCCGTTTGTGGTATTTTCTAAAACACACTGTCAAGACAGCAGGTCAAAGTAAAAGTAAATGTGTTGTGTTGGAGCTATCTGCGACGCGCTGATGAGATGCAAAAAGATCGAAATCGCGATCCGCGTCTGGCAATTTCAACAGAATACAGACCACTTCGAATTATTTTATTCGTGCCTATCACGTTGAGATTAGCTACGCCGGGATTCGTTTCAGCAAGTAGATATCCAGATATAGACCTTGTTGGAGCATACGTAATCCTAAAATGTAGCATCGTACTACAGATGGCGTTTACCGCGCCATTTGTTGTATTTTCTAAAACGCACTGTTAAGACAGCAGGTAAAAGTTGGTCTGTGTTCTGTCGGAGCTGTTTGCGACAAGCTGATGAGATTCAAAAAGATCGAAATCACGATCCGCGTCTGGCGGTTTCGACAGAATACAGACCACTTCGAATTATTTTATTCGATTATGGTAACGTGCCTATTACGTTGAGATTAGCTACGCCGGGATTCGTTTCAGCAAGTAGATATCCATACAAATGGACCTTGTTGGAGCATACGTAATCCTAAAATGTAGCATCGTACTACAGATGGCGTTTACCGTGTCATTTGTGGTATCATCTATTTTTTCTTTACATTCTTACATTTTTAAATTCTGTATCGAATTTTAACTATGTTTCATTTTCTTAGACTAACTACAAAATTACATAAAACCCAGATAAACTGCGCTTTATCCAAGTGCTGAGAACCCAAATATGCCACCAGAAATGGTATGATTCCAACAGGATGATGCCCCCACATTATTTACGAATAGTACGAGAGTACCTTGACAATATTTTCCCAAATCGACGGATCGGAAGGAGAGGCGTTATCGAATGGTCAGCTAGGTTTCCAAATTTGATCTCCCTAGATGTTTATCTATGGGGTTATCTAAAATCTAAAGTCTGCATCAATAAAATGTAAAATATTGAAAAATTGAAGAACAGAAATATAGCGAATCCAGCCACAAACCTTAATAAAGTATTACGAGACTCAAGAGCGACTTGCCTATTGTCAGGAAGTCAATAGTCAATAATTGAATTAAATAATTTGTTATTCTATTTTATTCCTCAATTAGCAATGTATTTGTTTCAACCTAGATGTCTTCCTAAATTTGATAGAAATCACTCGTTAATTTATCAAGAACTGCTGAATTTGGGTACAGAACATGGTTTATGCAACATACTCAAAATTCAATTCAGAATTCAAAAATGTAGTAAAAAATAGGTGCTTCTATTTGAAACAATAAAATCGGTGGTGATCGCTTACTATTGGGTCATACAGTCTACATGAATTTACAATGAAAAAACGCAAAGCCAAAAGTTAACACCGACGTGTCCAAGCGTTCTTCCAAAAAGCAAACCCCTGAATTTTAAATAAATTTGTTCCAACCCACGCTTCCACACTGTAGTGATAATTAGCTATAAGAGTTATGAGTAAANTAGTTTCTAACGTAAAACCGTGCTTATTTTGTTTTATGTTAAATCTTCATGTAGGCCTGTCCTTTTCCATTATGTGTTTTCTTATTTAAAAATAAATTATTTTAACTAAGAAATAAATGTAGACGTTGATGTAGAAAACAGTTTACTCAAAACTGCAACAAAAATTATTTGTAAAATAAAGTAAAAATGAGCAAAATTTTGAACTGAATACTACGAAAGTTTCACCTGCAGTAAACAGTTTTACATGTACACGAATTTCAATGAGAATGTTTTTTCAGGTTATTGTATTTTATGTTTTCATGTGAACAGTTTAAACACTTCAAAAATAGTTTTATATTTAACGCCGATTTTTTTTACCTTTATCTTTCTTCAAAGTCTCGATATTGATCTGCCTGCTTATTTTATTATGAATTTTCATCAAAAAAGTTTGAATTTATTTAATGAGCATAGAAGTATTAAATTGAATATATCGCTACATATATGCTCAGTTTTAATCGGAAAGCTCACATTTCAAACTAAAATGTCATATTTTGACGTTTCATATATAAATCAGAAAATATGTTTTAGCTTTCTTACGTTCAATTTGGCTCCTAAAAATTATTGTGTGTGGAATATACAAAAGAGTGCAATGCTTTAGCTAACATACATCATAAACAAAATAGTATGATTGTTAAAATTTTAGAATGGCCTCGAATTGCAAAGAAAAGATTAAGAAGTATAAAAATGCAGAAAATAAAAAATGCAAATTTAGTTTCTCTTCTTCCTCAACCGAGTTAAATAAAAGCAAAACAGGGAGTTGCCCTATTGAACCAACTTCATTAAGCAACATAAAATATCCGAAACAGTTTCTTCATGTCGAGAGAAGGAATTATAGCTTACAACTTGTTCAATTTCCGGTAGAGATTTTAAAAGGAATACACAGCCTCAAATTCTCCCAAACTCTCGGATTCTATGTATGTGGTTACGGAAATGGAGATATAGAGATGAGGGAAGAAATGTCAAACAGACTTTTGGCCAAAACAACATTGTCTCTTGATGGTCAGGATCCAGTCGTTAGCTTATGTTTCCATCCGAAACTGTCTCACTTTCTTTTCGCTGCTTGTTCTTACGGAAAAATACACTTGATCAAAACGCATTCGTTCACCGGTAAACTGCTTTTTGAACAAAAAAAAAACGAACTACATTCAATTGATGTGAGTTCAACTGGTAATTTACTATTTAGTGGCGGAAAAGATGGCCAAATTCGGGTGTACGATGTACAAGCAGAAAAGGTGGTTCGAAAGTTCGAAGGACATCGTTTTAGGGTGTTTTGTGTGAAATATGACTTTCATACTAATTTAGTAATCTCCGGAGGTTGGGATAAGTTTGTTAAGATATGGGATTTGCGTGAGCAAAACGCAATTAAGACCATAAAGGGGCCATACATCTGTGGTGATGCTATAGATATGCGAGGCTCCATTATCCTTACTGGTTCATGGGTGGAAACAGACAGCATTCAATTATGGGATTTCGGGACATCAAAATTACTTCATACTTTTCGAGCAACGAACCGTCATAGACACTTTATTGGTGAATATGTATACTGCTGCAAATTCCTCCAAACGGATACTGATGCAGAAAAAATTTTAGTAGGGGGAACAGATGCACTGGAGGTTCTAAACTGGAAGAAGAGAAAAATTACAGAAAGGTTAGAGGTGCCGAAAACAGTTCAAACTTTGGACGACAAACAGACAAGTGTCATATTCGGAGGAATGGAGCCTTTGCTACGGATTGCTAAATTTAAGGAACTATAATTGTTCCTATGAGAATAAAAAAAAATCAGATAGATTAGCATTAGAAAAAGACCACTGAATTCTGTCTTCCTGTGTCAGCAACTATTACATTAAAATAAGTTTAATAAAATTTATGCAAGTATTTAGGTAATGCGGTCTTCAAATTACATAAGAAAAAACTAAATCAATTTCTTTACTTGAATACTTTCACTTTTCTAAATTGCTTCATGACTAAACGAATGTCAACTGCGAAAATGGTATTCGTTTAAATCTTTGTTAAGCAGGTGGAGGTAAAACTATTTTTCTTAACAATGCATATGTATACATATACACGTATATAGGGTATCCCAATCAAGCGGATTTCCTCAATAACTGCTTTATAGTTGAAGATATCAAAAAATGTTTCTTATAAAAGTGATATATAAGTATCTCCATATCCTAAAATTATTTTCGATTTCCTGGAGGTAAACTAACTTTATTTTTTTCAAATGGAATGCCCCATTTATTATTGCATTTTTGAGTTCCCCGTTAAATTTAAATACCACTTTGTTAACCATATATTATGTCTAATATGCATCAATTTCCATAAAATTCTCAGTCAACAATAAACAGGCTGTTGGAGTGCTTTGCGCCATTTTGATAGATTTCAATGACACTATTTTCTCCAAAAGTTATGACAACCTCGTATGTATGAAAGAAAGTTTCAGCATTTAAGACAATTATTGTGTCTGTAAACAGAAAAATTTGTGCAATAAAGGATTATTTTAAAAAACGTAAGTATTAGATAATGAGCAAGACTTAACACGCAAGACCAAAACCAAGAACGATACTAAATCAGCAAGACCAAGACCAAGATCGAAACTGTATCAGCAAAACCAACACAATGACCAAGACTAGAACCATTTGAGCAAGAACAAAGGTCAAGACCAGAAATCTTTATAAAGGAATGTTGTTGAGTAGTCACAAATATGCAGCCATATCTATCGATTGCTAAAATTATGATTTTGTATATTTCTTCATACTCTTGCCCCATATAAGTACATATTTATGCATGCGCATTATCAATAATACAATTATAGTCAAAGATGACGTGCAAATTACATATTTATCAGTCTTTCACTCATCATTATCATCATAAGGTCGTCAGTCGTAAGACTGGTTGGACATGCACCTCCACTCCTGCCTATCCTGAGCTAACCTTCACATTTCCCTAAACTATAACATCCTACATTTTTCAGTATTTAGTACCATAAGACCAATGTAAATAAATTAAGTATAAATAGGATGTAAAAAAATCAATGAAGTAGTCTAACACAAGGACCATTCTTATTTGAATACTGCAATAGTATCAACCTCGAATGCTGCAACAGTGTCAATATTCATCATAAATATAGAAATGTGTCCAACATGATTATAAAACCTGCTCTTATCAGAAGCACAACTTTTGACAGTCATAAAGCGACTACAATATAATAGTTGCTGTAAATTTTGTGTAAGCCTTATAATAATGTAAAATCTTTGTAATCTTATTTAAACTGGTAAAATGTTGGATAATGTGCTTAAATAACATAAGCTATGGATTATTTGTTTATCTATTGTGTATGGTTTTTGTTTTTCATGTTGGCATTTGCAGTTTTCTTTTTACTCTATGGTATAAGATAATCAAGAAGAGGTTATGGTAAAAATAAGAATATAATGTAAAGTAGGAAAGTCTACCTAAAATCATAAGTAGAATTTAAAACCGTCATAACCGGAAATGCTACATTGATGTCGCTATTTTATTTCCTCAATAACGCTATTGTCTACATTTTCAAAATTCGAAGTCATCATTATAAAGTCGTAAGTCCTAAGACTGGTTAGACACGCACCTCCACTCTTGCCTATTGTGCGCCAATCTTAGCATTTCCAAATAGCTAAAGCAACCCATATCCTTAACTATTTGCGAATCAAATCTATCTAGGTCTATCTAGGTCCACCTCTACCGCTCCTAACTTCCGTTTCTCTCTATGTGGACCTTCGTGCCTGAGAAGATGTCCTAATAACCTAACTCGCCTATTTTTTATTGTTATCCATAGAGTCCTCTGTTCTCTTACTCGTTCTAATACCTCCTCATTTGTAAACTTCTCTATCCATGGTATCCTCATCATTCGCCTGTAACGAACGATTCTAACCTTTTCTTTTCCGTCGCGCTCACTGTCCAGGTTTCTCATCCGTATAACACTGTGCTCCAAACATACACCTTTAACAACCTTTTTCGAATTTATAAATTAACCGTTCGCGAAACATAGAAGTGATTTTTTTTTATTGAAAGTGATTCGGCTATTCTCTGCTTTATATCCCTACTACTCCTTCCGTCGTGAGTTATCTGACTTCCTGGATACTAAAATCGGCCAATTATTCTAATTATTCGTTTCCCATCTTTATATTCGCTCTTTCCATGCTTTTACTTCCCTTGCATACCCGTATTTTTGTTTTACTTTATTTATTCTCATATAGTACTGCTTTGTCAATACCGCTTCCACTTAATTTAAAGCTATCTCTAACTCCTCCTTGCTAGATGCTAATACTGCTATATCATCTGCAAATCTAAGAATGCTAATCTTTTGCCCCTGTATATCTATCCCTACAGTGGTACTGTTTTTAGTGATGTTGATCGCGTCTTCGATGTACAGATTAAAAAGCAATGTTGACAGTATGCATCCCTATCGGTCTCCCTTCCTAATATTTATTTCTCGTTGCAGCCCCATACAAAATACGAATTGTATATTATATTTAATATATTTAACATCTTGTCCCATTCAACATTGTCATTTACATCCTTCTCTGTACAATTCTAGTTAAGATTTTTGACGCATGAGAAGTTAAGCTAATTGATTCTAAATATCTGGCACACATCTGCGCCTCTCTTTTTAGGTATGGTTACTGCCACGTTCCGTTTATAATCCTCTGGAACTTTCCCCGTCTCGTGTGACTAATTAGCTTAAACATACGATCTCTAACCTCTTGTCCTGCATGTTTTAGAATTTCCCGCTGTATCCCATCTATACCTGACACCTTATCATTCTCTAAGTTTTTTAATGCTAAATAGAACTCTTTTCTCATTATAAGATAACCTAGCTCATCTGTCGCCCCGCGTTTCATTACATTTTCGCTTTTCTAAGTCAAGACGTCTCCTACCTTCCCTCTTTTTCAGAATTTTCAATTTAAGATTGGTCTTCATAATTACTAAGTTATGATCGTTATCTATATCTGCTCCTGGATAACTCCTACAGTTCTTCACTTGATTTTTAAATATTTGCCTAACTAGTATGTAATCTAACCAATATCTCTCTAAATTACCTGGCATCTTTCACGTATAGCGCCTCCTAACGTGATGATTGAATAAAGTATTCGCGACGATTAAGTTATGTTTATCGCAAAATTCTATCAGCCTATCTCCCCTATCATTTCTATTGCCTAATCCAAAAGAACCTGCTATTGCACCCACTTTACCTTCACCTATTACTGCGTTGAAATCTCCTAAAACTAGTAGGTTTTCCTGTCCTTTCACTAAACTTAACACGTCTTCTATATCTGCATAAACTGCTTCTACGTCTTCATCACTGTAAGATGATGTAGGCATGTAGACCTGCACTAATACCGTTCTTACCGGCTTTGAGTTTAATTTAACCATAACTATCCTATCGCTTTTTTGTAAATAACTTTCTACACT